AATAAGAATCAAAAAATGAACGATATACCTAGACTGATACTTGTAACTGACAGTGGCAGTCCTCGGTCGCCAAGGCCAATAATACTATCAGACGCTGAAAGAATCTTTTTGGTAAGGCAAGGGCTACCTAAACCATTGGCTGGTAGAAAATTTAGCCCTAATTATTAAGGTACCCGTTCCTAATAAAGCCATGCTAATTTCAGAGTTCTTAAGAAAAACAAAATTTGTATTGTAACCAAATTTATAAAGTAAATTCTTTACACTATATTTATAAATAACATCAAATTCTTAATCATTTTAGATGCATTTTAATTTTTTTTCAAAATCATTGTAAATGGGCCTGATTAAGAGCAAGGGTCCTTATTAAGGCCATAGGGGATACCCAAATATGGCCCACGTAATAAAACAGCATATTATGGTTGATAATTATATTGATTTTTTAAAAAACATAATGCATTCTGTAGTAAATATAGCCTTCAGCCTTAAACAAAAAATAGTTCAAAATTCCGGTTAAAAAATAAATGAATTGACCTTATTATTTTTTGGTAATAATAAATTGAAGCACAAGAAAAATTGAAGTTCACGAACTCATTAAAACGTAAAAATATAAATGGTTAATGTAATGAGTTAAATAATTACTAAGGAGGAAATGATGCGACATGTGTAAATTCAGTCAGAATACGAAGGACAACCCTACACAATCTTCGTGAACATACCGTAGGCACATATTACATATTTGCCACTTCATCTTCATCACATACGTGACAATACTATTTTTCTAGTACTTTCTTTGTTTTTATTTAGCCGAGGTAAAGGTTTATTAGTTTTTGAAACAGTTTGATCTTTTTGTTTACTGAAACAAGCCAAAGGAAGCAAATTTATACCAGTTTGTTTTTATTGATGAGACTTGGATTTTCCAAAATTGCACCATAAACCGTTCTTGGCAAGACAGCAATTAAAGAAGTGTAAAAAGTACAAAAGTTGATTGATGGTAAAAGGTTAATAAAAAAAAACTAATGAATATATACATATTAACTGTATATTGATCTTTTTTATAGATATATAATTCTTCATGCTGGTAACGAAAATGAATTTATTGATGGTGCCGAGGCCATATTTGCTTCAAAAAGCAATGATTGTGATTATCACAGTGAGATCAATAATGAAAAATTTTTAAAATGGTTCGAAGAACAATTGCTTCGAAGACTGCATGAACCATCTTTAATTGTAATGGACAATGCTTCATACCATAGCACATTGGCACACAAAACACCGAATAGTAATTCGACTAATGTTCAAATTCAAGAGTGGTTGACGAATCAGAACATACCTTATTCAGTAACTATGTTTAAGGCTGAACTTTTGAATCTTGTAAGACGGTGAATAATGGAAATCTACTTTTTCTGTATTTTTTAAATGATTTTATTTTTTAGTAATAAACCACCAAACATATATGTAGCTGATATGCTGGCTGAATAGTATGGACATAAGGTTTTACGTCTTCCTCCTTACCATTGTATTTTTAATCCAATATAACTGATTTGGGGTATTTCAAAACAATATTATAACAGGCACATTGGTCGGTATGGAAAGACACAAAGAGATTGTATAGACATGTGGTCTGAAGCACTCCGAACCATTACCCCACAAATGTGGGCAAAAAGTGTAAGACACACTGAAAAAGAAATTTTTAAATGGTGTGAAAGAGAGCATATACTCGACCGATTAGAAATTGCTCCCATTATTATAACACCAAATAGAGATGATTCTGATTTTAGTTCTGATTATTCTGACTGATTTTAGCTTAAATATTATTTAAGTTTTAAAATGTCATGTGTTGTTAATTTTATTACCTGTTCTAATTATTGTTACTTCTTTTAAATATGGATGTTTATAAACTAGCTGAATATAATTATTTTTTATTGTAAATTAAATCAAGCCTAAATAAAATTTGTTTGTTTTTTCATCCTTAACGTAACCTTTTTTTGTGCAAAATTTATTACTATTAAATTCAGTGTTTTTCTAAAACTTCAATTTAAACATTAGCAATGATTTTCATTGGCTTTTATATAGAATTCATTATACATTTAAAATTAATTGTTCCTAATAACATAGCCAAAAAACATAACCTCATAGTTTTAAAAATTCCTACATTCTTAGACTATTTTGAAGATTGGGCAACACTGCAAGGCTGTGACTTCATAACTGATTGATGACGTGCATCGGTTTTTATATTGAATGCTCTATAAAAAACTTTGGTGTTTCTAATATACCTTTCTAAACTGTTTACTGAGTTTAATGAATGGGAGCGAGATTACGAAAAATGTATGTCTGTAACTTTTTAGATTTGTAAATATGTATAGCGGATTTACAGATCTGCCATACTTATTGTTGAAAAATAGGTTTATTACCACCAACAAAACTGTATAACCCAAACTTATTACTATGAAACAGCAGAGAACTTAGTTACTGAAAACTGTAAAAACGTTTCCTGGTATATCATATTTTTTATTTACAACTGCAACTGATAGTTGCAAATGCAAGTACGATTTTCAGAACTTATTCTGTAAGGAGGATGATGCAATTAAAAAAAAAACATGAAACAATACATACATAATAAAGTTTTTTATTTTACATATTGAAATATTCCACCTTATCGCCGGATTCCACCTTTCGCGTTGCCTTTTCGACTTTCTTTTTCGTCACTTTCTCTACGGCATTTTCCTTCTTTTTGGCTTTTGGCTTTTCCTTCACTTCGTCGGTGGTCTTTTTAGTTTTTTTCTTCTTCTTGTGCGTCTCGCCCTTTTCGGATTTGGTTTTTTTCGTCGGTTTTAATTTAGTTGTAATGCTGGGTTGTTTGAATGAACTCATAGATAATTTTGATACTGTTAACGGTAAATTTTAGAATTCGATTGACATTAATATGACGGATTATTGAAATATGAAGTCATGTCAGTCGATGAAGACTCAATGAAGGATTGTACTTAGCTGCTGATTTGTCTTAAAAATTAAATATTTTATAACATAGTAGCTCTTTCACATACTTTGATAAAACCACCACTAAAAAGAAAACACTTGACAATAACAAAGCTGACAACTTTATTGTCTGGATACAACAATAGTAGAAGATTGTGATACATACACTAACGTTATACTGACTTTCGACCGAGAATAACAAAACGCTTTCGATTCAAATTTCATCCAAACTGCGCAGTGACGTAATACGAGACGGACTTGAACAAGTTATTTTGATGATTTTCGAACATTGATCCTGAGAAAATGGCGACGTAATCGACGCAAATCTAATGCGCGAACTTTGAGTTGGAATACTGATATTTTTTAATTTTATGGCTTAGTTGTGTATACCTAAAATGCCAGTCTCAATTTGTGTTTGATGTGCATTCATGAGTAGGTTTGTTACTAGATCACAGCGCCACAGTTGGAACCTAGCAGTGAATGGTCGGGGTGAGGAGTCCTACTTAGGCATCAGAATTATTTTTAAATATTTAAACTACAAAAAAAATCCCAGCTGACGGTGGGATTCGAATTGCAGACACTTGGATTCGCAAGCTTAGACTATTACTGAACCATCTGCCCCCCTACTAGTGATTTTTCTATAATCCGTGAGTTCGAGTAGAAACTCAGGTTGCTCTGAGTTCATTTTCGCATTTTTTAGAGATTCTGAGTGTGATTTGTCGCGTTCGATATGACCACATACTTTGATTACTATACGGGACAAGAGAGAGATCCGACACACCCAACATAGGGCGCGGTCATTTTGATTCCTATGACACAGTTTATAGCTAAAGAATCAGGTCGCTCACTCTGCGTCGGCACTTTTGATCTCAATGTTCCAGTTTATACACTGTGCAACTCGGATAATACAATATATGACAACAGCCTATAATAAAACAGCAGTCTTCTGCGTATCCTAAATTTGTATCCCTGGAGTGGATGTTATTTTGGAACTTTCAACTGGTCCGAGTGAGCTAACTGATTCTTTAGCAATAAACTGTGACTCCAAAAATAATATTCACTGACACCACATACTTTGATTACTATACGGGGCAAGAGAGAGGTCCGACACGCCCAACATAGGGCGCGGCCATTTTGATTTCTGTAACACAGTTTACAGCTGAAGAATCAGTTCGCTCACTCTGCGTCGGCACTTTTGATCTCAATGTTCCAGTTTATACACTGCGAAACTCGGATAATACAATATATGACAACCGCCTATAATAAAACAGCAGTCTTCTGCGTATCCTGAATTTGTATCCCTGTAGTGGATGTTATTTTGGAACTTTCAACTGGTTCAACTGGTTCGAGTGAGCTAACTGATTCATTAGCAATAAACTGTGACTCCAAAAATAATATTCACTGACACTGACAGCAGCAAGTAAAATATCAGGTGCGTTTTAATCATCCGCTTCTGCTTCCGGAATTGTCGGTTTAGTCGTTTTAATCTGTCAAATTAAAACAAGAAAACCGACAATTCCGAAGCAGAAGCGGATGATTAAAACGCACCTATTAAAAATTTTGCGCCAAGATGTAGGCAACACGTAATAAGGGTTCAAAATGGCGGAGTTTTCTATCTCCTTTTAATAGGCACTCAGAAAGCTGCGCAGTGCGACCATTCTCCGTATAGTAAAATAAAATCAAAGTATGTGCTGACACTGACAGCAGCAAGCAAAATATCAGGTGCGTTTTACTCATCCGCTCCTGCTTCCGGAATTGTCGGTTCAGTCATTTTAACCTGTTAGATTAAAACAAGAAAACCGACAATTCCGAAGTAGAAGTGGATGATTAAAACGCATCTATTAAAAATATTGCGCCAAGATGTAGGCAACACGTAATAAGGGTTCAAAATGGCGGAGTTTTCTATCTCCTTTTACAAGGGACTCAGAAAGCTGCGCAGTGCGACCATTCTCCGTATATAGTAAAAGAAAATCAAAGTATGTGGATATGACTCTAAAGTATGGACTCTTTTAACTCTGTGTTAGAAGATCGAGATGTCTGGAAGTTAAATAATAAAATGTCAATTATGTCAACATATTAATGTCCTGAGGGTTTGTGCTAGGTAAAATTTGTATTTTAAGCTCTGTGTATTGAAGTAACTCGGTAATTCAAATGTCAATTGCATAAAATTTCACATCAATCTTCTTAATTCATCACCGAAATCCATGCCATCGTCCGTAAACATCTACGATTTAAAACCCTGCGACAAAACTCTCCAAGCAGAAGCTGAAAAACAGAAAGCTTGGCTAAAAGAAAAAGAAAAACGGTTGAACAGAAGAACAAAAAAGAAATCTAAGGAACCCGAAGAACCTACCAAGGACACCGCGATTGCTCGCAAACCGAAGATCGAATATGCAACTAAGGCGATAAACGCTCCGCGAAAGAAGAACAAAGGTACGGAAAAATTCACAAAGATGGATTTGGCCGAGGTGTATCGGAAGTGTGGTCTGACGAAGATACAACAAGCCATTGGGCCGAAACTGTTTAGAACTGGTAGTACCTTCAGTGCCATTAGCCGTGATAGCCGTGGTAGTCTTGGTAGCAAAAGTAATGTGGGTTACAAAATATAAGGTTTCACATTTCTACGTGTTTTATTTTTGTCTATCTCAATAGGCTTCATAGATATAAACAATAATACATAATTTCCTGCTCTAAAGTAGGTAAAATTTTATATTAGGTTAAAAAAAGATCACTGTTGACATATCTAGATAAAAATCCAGGTTAATTTTGAAAAATTATTCTACTGTTGAAAATGGTGCTTGACACCTTCATCGGCCACCTTAGTATAAACAGTCTAATAGCGTATGCCGATAACCTGGCCATTTTGCAATTAGGTAATGTTGAGACATATTCTGCAAAATATTACAAGTAGCTCTCATAACCTTGGTGTGAGTATGGTCATTCTTAATAAGAGGTACGTCTTTATCGCTTGTAAGCAGGCAGGGTTAGGTTTGGCCCAGAACAATGTGGCCTCTTGGATCTATTGTATTCCCCTACTTTCCCCGTATTCAGGTACTATCTTTGGAATAGTCCTGTGTCTTTGGTTATTTTTAATAGGTTCCCTAACAAGTGTTTCTAGGGCGTTCTTTCTGGTTCTAGGCCCAGTAATAGCTTTGAATTTGAAGATCACATGGTATGAGGTTTCTTCCTCTTCCATGCAAAGTCTACACGTAGTGGGATCATTGTGTAATCTCATTACATGAAGGTGTTTCAGTAGAGAGGTACATGGATTGTAAGAATTTTAATCTCAAGGTAACTTTTTTCTGCCCCCCTCTGAAGCTGCTGTTCAGTCCCAATCTACTTTGAACCGAGCTCACAGAAATTCTCATAGTAGCAAAAAAGTTGACAGAAAAAATATCACTGAAAGGAACATGCTCATCTATACAGATAGCAGACAAGCGATTTACTCAAAGCTAATACTAAGATATCACGAAGCTTTGACCGAAAATGTGAAGTCATTTATTAATAGCCTGAAACGGACAGAACATTAATATAATGATATTTTAAAGATACTATTTTCGAATGCTGATGCTTTTCCACTACATTTTGAGTCTTGCTACAGTAACCACAGCCTTTTTGACTTAAACCACTTGAAACACATCAAAATTGATTACTATCATACATTTCACTACTTTCAGTAGATGAAATAAAAAAGGAAACGCTGGACCTCGAGCCTTGCAAAGGTTCTGGTATAGATAGAATCCCAAGAAATGCCTTGCATTATCTACACCTCTGGATACAACTTTTTTGAGATTGTTCGACATAGGTTATGTCCCGTCCAGATGGAAATATTTTAACTTGGTTCCAATTTCCGGGGATAAATCTGACAAAAAAATATCGTGACAAATTGATAATCTCCTCCTTTTTTGAAGTCGGTTAAAAAGTATCGGGCTATCTCTATACTATTAGCAATTTCTAAGATTTTGGAATCAATTTTAACAGAAGAATTATTATTCTATAGACGTTTAAGATTTATTTACATAATAAACGATAAACATGGCTTCTACAGAGGTCATTCAATGACTACTTTTAACAGGAGCTCATAACATTACTTCTGACGTCTCTAAGGCGTTCGATAATGTATACCAATCTCCTTCGTCAGGTCGTCTTAAGACTCTAAAGGTCACCCTTCATAATATTTAATTTTGTCTTGCGTTGATCAAGCAACGAGAGATTGGGTGGAGCAAACCGTTAAAACCATGGTACATTGGAAATGGTGCTAAACTTAAAGTCATAAACTCTGGGGAAGTAATGGAATCCAAGTTTACCATGATATGGATACTGGGACCCGCAGTGGAACCAGACATAATAATGAAGAGACTAAGAAGAGAAAATTCTGGGCTCCAAACGCGGAACTGGAGGGTTACTGGAAGGTAGTTGGACCCTAGGGGACAGCAACTTTTCATAACCATGAATTCCGTCTCTTGGGAGAAGATAAAGGAGAAGCAAGGAATACTGTTCCTAAATTTCTTCAATAGCTTGATAAAAGAGATTGGAGGAAAAACGGAAAGGGTTTTTCCTGCTGCTCCTGAAACTTTTCAGGAAAAAGAAGCGCCTACTAAGGGTGGAGAACACATAACAGAAGAGAATCAGTCCTTGGTCGTAGAATCACAAGAAAGTGGGGCTACAGAACAAGAGACTGAGGCTCTAACGGAAATAGGAGATTCGGAATCCACAGCACGTGAGCTAGGTGAAGACGAGGAAAGGACTCTTTCAGGGGACTCAGCGCTTTCTGACCAGGCTGACGTGCTGTAAGAGGTAGAGGACCCTACATCAAGAACTAGGGGGTACATTAAAAAAATTAAGGTAATCCAAACAAATGTACATCACGTTTGAAAAAACTGCCCTTCAAAAATTAGGAAAGATAGAGATATATATAGATGGAAATGTCAGCCTTCCCAGATTTTAGAGCCTTGTAGGATGCCTCATCAATTGAATAGGTCAGGATTTGTACTTTCCTTTTAATCTTTCCGCTCATCAACAGCTAGTCCTGTGTCTTCAGCTTTTGATTTTGGAGCTGAAAAAGTCCCTTGACTCTGTTTACTTCAGACAGGTCTGGGATGAAGACCAGTACTCTAGGTTTTCTCGGATGATCCTTGAATTTAACCACGGTCAAATCTGCTGCCCCCAAGAATCTTTAGTTCGCTGTTTTTGGATTACCGAAAGTCTGACGATTTTAGGAAGTGCGGTTCGCTTTCACTGCATAAGGGGGCAGAGTACAACTGTTGCCTCTTGTACCAAGTCTACTTTTCCTTATTCTAGTATAGTATCCGGATACTTTTTGTCGATGGCAGCTGGTTGGATTCCTCTCAAGTTATCACTGTACGTTCCAGTCAGAGCATTCTTGGCTATTTATGTTTCACCTTGACTGGGGGAAGTCTGCGACTCAACGCGGGGTCTCTTCTTGATTTTCTTTACTCACTTCTAAATCCTTTTGAATTTTATGGCTCATTTCTTTTGGAACTGGTTTTTTGCCGTCCAAATTCCTTCAGCTATATTTTTCTTTTTCGGGAGATTTTTCTTACTGATCCTGCTGTCAGTTCTCACAGATTCTTTCCTCCCAATTTTGTATTTAGGTATATAATTTTAAGTTATTATAGATTATACTTCTTATAATTTTATTTACCTGAAGATGATTTTATTAGCTTTAAAGCGCTTACAAACTTTAATATGTTTGAAAAAATCTACTTAAAATTTTACCCAATACCTGTCATCGATGACGTACACTGGATTTTATATTATATCAAGTATATCATGAGCTATCCTGTTTAATACTATGTAATCCTTGATACCGTCCTATCCCACATTTTCTTTTAGGTTATATGTCAAACTTACTGACGAAAAATTCCAGTTTCATAATGCCTTTAAATTCTAGAATTCCTTCACTAGAAACAACTACTACTAATTTCTTCAATGCAGCACCTCCGTCTGGTACTAATACAGATGGAGTGAGCTTCATTTTACCGCCCCCCAGACGGTCTATAAATACTTTAACAAGTCGATCTCTATCGCCTGGTAAATTTTTAAAATACGAAAAAACTGATCGTAGAGCTTCGTCTGCAAAAGAAAGAAGAGAGACTAGCAGGTGAGATTTAAATGTAAATATAAAATATAATAATTATAGATAGTTCAACTAGAAATTATATTGATAACTTTTTTTATTTCAGTTTAATCCCTGATAGAAAACCAAGTAATTCATCTTCACGAAACCATTTCAAAACTATCGATAATAGTATCATTAGCCCAAAAAAGAGTTTAAGTCGCGCATCATCGCATCTACAACAAAAAACACAGATAACCCTAAATAAACGCGAATCTAAGCCTTCACATGACTCATCTGAAAAACTACCAAAGAAAGATCGAGTTGATCCTGTAGAAAAATCTAAAAAAAATGACAATAGAGCTAAATCAAAACAAAACAAACATAAAATAGAAAATATTTACGGTAATAAAATAGAATTAAAAGACGTACAAATAAAAATTAGAGATCGATCAGAGTCACCTGTAAAATGTAAAACAGAAAATCAACATTCATCTCCTAAAAAATCACAAATGAAAGAAGCAAACATAAATAGTAAATCACGTACCGCATCTCCTATTAAGTTGCAATTTGATAAAGATAGTACGAATATAAGGAGACTGACATCCCCTAAAAAACCGCAAAAAGAAGTGGAAGAGAAATCAAAAAATATATACGATACTTCATCTCTTTTAAAATGGTTGACAGAAGATTTGCTACCAGCAGAACGATGCTGGCCAATCAAAAACCAGCACTGTGATTTCAATCGAGTTACATCTCCTAATGAATGGACAATAGAAGATTTGACTGATCGGTGTAGATCTCCTAAAATATCGCGAAACGCAGCTAGATTTTCGCCACCTTTAAAATGTCAATTAGAAGAAAAATTACAGGTAATAAAAAACAGAATGGACGTCAAAGTTATTGATAGATCTTCGTCGCCTATACGTTTTAAGGAACCGCAGGTTGAAAAGCAATTTAAAAACCGAGGTAGGTCATCGCTAAATGAAGTGATCGAAAAGAGGGGATTGTCTGCATCTAGAGTAAGGTTTTCGTCCCCTAAAAAAACGCAAAATGAGTTAGATCGTCCCCTAAGAAATTATGTAAACGAGAAATACGAAAAACATAGAGTACTGTCTTCATCTACAGTAGCGGTTTTGTCCCCTAAAAAACCGCAAAACGATGTACAACATCCCCTAAAAAATACGCTTCAAGCGAGTTTGCAGCAAGAAGAAAGAAAATGTATAAGTAGGAGATTTCGAAGTACGTCTGCTTCGCCTAAAAAATCGCAATCGCAATATCCGTCACCTAAAAAAACTGACGTAGAAAAACACACTAAAATAGTGTACGCTGAGGAATATTTGAAAAACAAGCGGAATTTAAGTTTTTCAGCCCCTTTTCGCAGGACCACAGGATCTCAATGCGATCGTCCGAATAGAAACAAATCAGTTGAAACATCTTTGGGGACTGATAACATGGCGTATACCCAGCAATATGGTGTGTGCGGGAATAGTAATAGCCCGTGTAATGTTTATAAGTTTTTAGTACAATTAGCTTAACGTTTTTTTAGGTGATATTGATATGTGGTTGATATTAAATTTCTACATTTACGTTTTTCTTTTTGAATATCAACATTGTTCCTTTTCTAAAATATACAGAAGATATTTTCCTTTTAGACTGCTAGAAATAGAAGCAGGAGTTTACTCTTTTTATGAATTTTAAATAAGATATTGCTTTGAGGGAGAGAGGCATATTTTAAACATATTTTTCAATATGCATCTTCAACTATTTAGGAACAATTATATCTCAATTATACATCATTTAAATTGTCACAAAATTATCTTTGTAATGTAAGGGTGTACAAGACCACCAAAAGTAAAAGAAGAAGAGCACAATTTTTTGAAATTTCGCGGGTTATACTACTACATTTAACAATTTATTTTAAATAGAAATATACGGGTGAGAACGAAATAAGTCTGTGAGTGGGAGTTTATTTAAACTTACTTTTTACTTTTAAAATTACTTTACTTACAATATGTACAATTTTTGTATAGTAACATTTGAAATACATTAAATTTGTAGCAGGATTTCTTCTTCTGCGTGACCCAGGAAGTGTTCCGATGCTGCTATGACCTCAGACGAGGCCATGACCTATGTCGTGGCCGTGAATTCCTAAGCTATTATTAAATATAGTGATTTTACGTGACCTCTCCTTGTTACATCAACATTATAAGTCAATTAGGGTTGCTAACTAGATCGATAATTGTATTGTGTATTGTATTGTGTCTGTATTCCCTGAAAAACCAGTTGAAAAAACAGGGTTGTCCTTGTGTTAAGTGTAAAGGTTAAAGAAAAGGTCCTTTATTTCTCCTTGTGTGTTTGTAGTCATGTGGTAGTTTACGTGCGTGATATAGCCAAGACACAGGACTACACAGTAGCTCCCCCGTCCCCCGTCCCCGCTTCACCGGTAGGGGGGCGGGAACTAATTTCTGTTTCGGACGTCGCTCCTCTAGTCTCTCAACCCTTTCGACATAGCTTTGACATTTCGTATAGTTGGCAGGGTGATCACCCCCACAATTGACACATATCGCTGGAGTTTCTCGGGTCTTGTCGGAGGTTCGTGTGTGGTGATCACCCGCACACTTCAAGCATTTTGAGGGTCTGCCACAGTTTGCCGTTGCGTGCCCCCATTGTTGGCAGTTATGGCACTGGATTATGAGTTTGGCGGATTTTCGGAGTTCCCAAGTGACTCTAGTATATAATTCTCTCTTTGTGTTTTTATTTAGATAATCCAGTGTCAATACTGGGTCTGTAACTACCTAGTTTTCATCTGATATACGGCTCTCGCCTTGGTGTCATGCTCCTCCTCCAAGTTATCCTCGATGTCCGAGATTTTTGTACCTTCTGCCAGTCTCCTCAGCACGAAGTCGTGTGAGATTTGTCGTCTCGATGTGTATAGGTGTGATGTGGCATTTTTTCGGATTTTATGTTTGCTAAAACCTTTTGATAATCTTCTTTGTTTTCTACAAAGATAATCGTTGTATAATTTGTGTGTTTTAGGCTGAATTCACCTTGTACTACTGCCTTTAAGTCTGTAATAAGTTGCTTTTGATTGACCGTCCTACCATCAATGACAATTGGCGGCATAGAATTTTTGTTTTTGCTGTTTCTATTTGTTTGTATGTTGTTTGCACTTTGTATGGATTCCTGTTTAGTTGAGCTCTGTTTATTTGTGCTGTTTACACCAGGGTTGGTTTTATTTGCTATCGTTGTCTCGTCTAGGTTTAAGGGTATGAATTTATTGGCTTTTTTTCGTTTCTTAACGATTTTGCCGATTGTGTCATCACGATCTGAGTCAGATTCGTTAGTCAGTTGTTCAAAGGAATTTGAGGTAGTTATTAGAGTCTTTTTCGATTTTTTGCGGACAAGTTTTTGAAAGTTTGTGCTGAATTTCTTTGGTGAAATAAATGCATCATCATTAGCTTTATTTTTTTTTTAATTGTTCTAGTAATCTTTGTTGCACTTCTTCGGATTCTGTTTCCATTTCATACTGGGCCCTGTCTTCCGCATTTCTGTACTCGAACAGACACTATTCAAAGAATGAGAGAGGTCGCTGTACTTGTCCGGCGGCGCAGATTCGCCTGTGTTTTCATCTTCTTCTGGAGTTTGGAAATTTGGATCATATTTAATAATAATAATAATAATAATGACTTTATTGCTTTCAATACATACAAATTATTATACAAAATTATATAAATATACATAAAAAAATACTGAAAGACAAAAGGCGACGTTCGCACTTACTGGCGAGCTCAAAGATTGAGCCAGCAAATAAGCAGCGCTCTTCCACGCAACCCAGAAAAATATAAATAATTAAGTAATGCATACAGATTTTCTATGAAAAAAAGTGAAATTCTAGCTTTCAATAAGAAAGCAAACAAACAATAATATGGAAACTTAGAAATAATAAAAACAAAGGTCAAATTTTATAAATCCTAGATCTGTGTTGTTATTGTAGTTATTAATCAATAGTGACGAGTAAAAAATAGAAATAACATGAAATATTATTGTTAAACTAAATTTAATTAACAATATAAATTAAAAAGTGTAAGTGATATCTCCGTTAAATAAAAAGTTTTTGACTACTTTTCTAAAACTTGAGAGTGATGTGATATTAAATATTTTAGGGGCAAGGTTAAATAATTTGGCTGTGAAATACGAAAAGCAAGATCGGAATTTCATGATATTTTTGTCTATACTTTTGGGGACGTCAGTCGTCTTAACCTCTACCCTGATACGTGGGTCACTATTGATTCTGGTTTTGGGCTGATTGGGAAAAATACTTAGAAAGTGACGCCTTTGGATTGTGGGTGAGGTTTCATGTGTTGGGGGTCTAGGGACATACCCAGACGGAATGCTACTCAGTTCACCTCCTGAATGGGCATTTTCCACACCACCGGCTAGATTTGTGGCAAAGTTCATGTGTATATTGCTACTGTACTCGTTGGTTCTAAAGTCGAGTAGTTTTTTCATTACATTTTTTGAAAGTGGGAGGGTTTTATATCCCTATGCAGTCTGCATTATGTTTTGGGGTACAACTGCAGTATTGTCTGCTTTTTTGTTTTGGTTTCTTCTAATACCATGGTCTCCATCTCACTATTCGAAGAGTAACTTGAGTTAGAGCCTTCTAAGACGTCTAGGAAATTTTTAACTGTCTCAAATTCATTGGCAGTCTTATCATTGTCGTTTAGGCTATCGTTGAATCTCTCTTGGCTGTCCTGGTAGTCGAGATCGTCGGAACCCACACTTGACGGCTTCCTGGAGGCTGTACTCTTATCCTCAGTGGTATTTTTTGTTGTTTCAACTCTCTCAAATGTTTGAAGGTCACTTGGAGGTGAAACTTCGATAATTTTGGCCTAAGGCGCCCCCTGTATCGGGCATCTGACCCTGCATTAGTGGTTAATGTAGAATTCAACCCTTTACCCATATTTGTCTGGTCTTGTTTTCAATTTGGTTTTTATATTCTTAACAGTTTTGATTGCTGCTACTTTGTCTTTGTTAAGCCGGCATCTGTTTTTGAGTGTCCTGGTGTAAGCAGTTTCAAAGCCTTTTGGCGTTTTGGGAGGCCCGGAAGGCTCCGACATTCACTTCTGAATGCCGAAACTTGATTGTACTATACCTGGCGTGTAAGCTAAACCTTTGAAATGAAAAAGGTTTGACGAGATTTTCGTCGACAACTGACAGCTGCAGTTTTGTTTGATAACTTTCTACGGGTATGGAGACTGTTAAGCAGTTAGATATAAAAGGCCAAGTACTTAGATGTAAGAGGCCAGGTATTCAAAGAAATTGTTTCATTTTATCTTTATATTGTTTTGTCCATTTTGTTTCATTTTATTTAGTTTTAATTTAAACGTTATATTTATTCTCACAACATTTCTAGACAACCTGACACTTGACGACTCTTCTCCCATCTCCTGGGTTTGTAATCTTGATTTTTCTATAATTTTGCACTAATCTATAGCTTCCTCTAAGGTGAAAGCGTCATTTTGTAGTAATTTGTTTCGGATTTCATTATTTTTCACTCCACAGGTAATCATGCACTTTACCAAACTGTCCTGCAGTGTCCCTAACTTGCACTTTTGGGCTTGCTCTATCAGCTCTGTTATAGATTCTTTTAGGCTTTGATCTTCCCTCTGCCTTTTTGTAATGAATACATATCTCTCATATGTTAAATTTTCTTTTGGAAGAAAATAATTTTCGAAATTTTTTAATAGTACTTCAAGCTTATCTTTCATTTTCCTCTATCTTAAAATTTTTATAGATATTAAAGCCTTCTTTCCCAATAAAGTGAAGTAAACGTGCACACTGTACAGCTTCTGTCTTTTTATTTGCCTCGGTAGCTGTAAGGTAATTTTCAAATCTGCTCCTCCACATTATCCAGTTTTCAGCACAGTTACCTTGGGTTTTTAATGGACGTATGCCTCTATTTTCTCCCATTATTTTATTTTAATTTTTTCACTTTCTTTTAGGTTATGTTTTTCTTTTTTCTTTATTATTATTTTCTCAAAATACTTGTTTTATCCTACTGACTGCGCCATGTTAATTAGTGTCTGGCTTATTAATTTAAATGGTGATGGTTTGATGATTAAAAGAATACATTAATTTAAACGTTATATTTATTCTCACAGCATTTCTAGACAACCTGACACTTGACAACTCTTCTCTCTAATCTATACCTGGCCTCTTACATCTGTGCTTGGTCTTTTACATCTAACTACTTAACAGAGACAACTGCTTCTTCCTAGAGAAGTTCTAGGTCTATTTTTCACAAAGTGAGAAAACTATATCTCGCCTAAGTTTCTATTTGCTTCACGCGTAACTTACCGACTATTTAATATGAATCAAATATCTCCGCTCCTAGGTATAGAAACATTTTTTTTTCTCGCATAAGTTAGGTACAAATACCACTTTAACCTATCCTAAAGAGAACATTTTACCTAAATAACAAAACGAAGTAAGTAAGGTTAAAATAAAGATTTCCGGTGACTTAATTGAGTAACATAGGTGAAACTACTATCTTGAAAATTTTCTTATTTTGATTTTATAAAAAAGAATCCCTTTCGGGTGCTAAAATTTCCTACAATAGAAAAA